TTTGCTTTAGCACCAATAAACATGGTTTTGTTGTGTTGTAGATGCTCTCATTCAGTTCTTTTACACATGTTTGAAGACATTTCCCTGTTTTATCTCAGTATATTCCTCAGTTAAAACTGTAAAGGTAATTTATTGTCTCAGATGTGCTCTTCTGTCTGAATCACGAAGTGAAACCATGTCACAAACAATAGAACACGTCAGTTTCTACATTCCTTCAGTTATGAAGCAAAGAAAAACATTTCCATGCATCCTGGATCCGACTTTCTCTGGATTAAAGGGAAAAAGAGCGCAGACCTTTCTCTTTCGTTCCATTAAATCTCCATCGTGCTCTTCTGGTCTCATAGTTTCCACTGAAGCCGCTCCACGATGTGAGCTGTCAAACTCTTATGAACAGACACCTTCACAGCTTCACTAATGTTGATGTAGGCTGAGACTACGACACGTGTGGACGTATGTCTATGTTTGCACATGACCTCTATCCCCATGGATGTTACCACACACACCGACCGATGAACACATATTCCCGGAAAGGTGCAGCGAGTGTGAAAACATGGCCTTTTAGTGTATGTAACCTTCTAGCTGTTGGTGTCAATGGCACACGCACATGGTGCATAATGCATCCAGCACATGGCTGACCTGGACGAGGAAGGCTTTCGTCGCCTTTGCATTAGTGATGTGTGATTAGGCCGCTCCTGTCAGGGTCAGATATGAGGAGGGGACAGCCAGTGTTGTGTCTGTCATCTCATCGGCAGGTGTTCATGCAACAAAGACAGTTAAACGGCATTGTTAACCAGAGCTGTAATCAGATTACCTTATGTTTCATTAGAATTAAGATAATTCAGGATGTTTTAGCCAGCCAGAGCATCTCCTTGTATCTGGTTCCACTATATGCATGAAGCCCCACCCCCTCTAAAAACTTTTTAACAACCAAAGAACAACGCTATTATGTCTCACACATTGACTGTATATCTAAGATGGACAAATCCTCAGTGCCGCCACCCGTAGGTTTCTGAAAAGGTGAATTGAAGGTAGGGCTGAACAATTCTGGAAAGTAATCTAATTGCGATTTAATTCACGATTATTTTCTCAAGAGGCTTTTCTCATATTTTTCAACTGACGGGAGCAAAAAAAAAATGTATGTAACTTGTACTGAATATAAACAAATGTATGTATCTTTATCTACATATCATATCTACAAGTTTATTTGTGTACATCAATCAATCAGTACTTTATTAATCCCAGAGGGAAATTAGAGTTTCAGTACACACAATTCAGAGATCAGTCATACATGGGCAAGACACATGACAAGAACTGGTGACTGTGGTCATTCGCAACCTGAGTTGCGCTACCTTAATAGAGATAAGAGGGTTACATGAGGATTGGTTCAGGTGGAGGGAAAAAAAGGTTGGGTTTTCACAGCATCTGTCTGCATTTCTTCGTGGGGGTTTTAGTTGCTTGCCGCTCAAGGCTACCCGGGCATCAGATTCAGATAACAACAATTTGTTTGGGTCAGCCTGAGATAATTTTCCTCTCAGCCTTCAGTCTTTAAACTGATCATTTCCAGTCCTTCAGTGAAGCCAATTTTGGGTTTTTAAACCTGTCCATACCGTCCGGTGAGTCTCTCCGAGATGACATCCATTTTGCGCACTAATACCGGTATCGCAGCTAGAACATTGTCCAGCTTACGATTCACCTCGAGTAACGTCCCAGTCTGTGAGGTCTCCACACAGACGGTGCTTTCCGTGGGTGCGGGTCGCCCTCCAATCGCTTCCGTCTTCCCAACTTTCCAGAAAACCAGATATCCTCCCAATCCAATCAGGAGAAATCCAGTGATCATCAGGCCGAATATCCACACGTCTTCGATGTCCTCAGTGGACAGCTGGGAGAGGCATATGATCTTCCACTCCTTCCAGGAATCCAAAATATACCCCACCGGGTGTGTCCCTTGTGGACATGTGGGAGCCCCCTGTTCCGTTCTCATTGTTGAAAATATCTTATCGATCGCATTGAATGACTAGTTTATCAAATCCATGGTTAGTAAAAAATAGAGTTTTTCAGAAGAAATGCAGAGAAGCGCTCTGTGGGCAGACAGGACAAAGAGCCTTGGGAAAAAAGATAAAGGAGTGAAAGAGAGAAGCGTCTGTACTCCTCGAATGCCTTGAAGAGAAAAACACTGGCAAGTAAAGACAAAAGGTTGTATTTGAAGGTGCGATGCTTTGCAACCAGGAGCGCATCCCTTGGCATAGGTATTAGCATCACCTGTGAAAATGTATTAGCAGGAAAGAAGTGTGTCCCATTTATTGGTCTTTTGTGTTTAGTTTTTGTCCATGCAGAGCTTCCGTAGTACTTGACTTGACTACAACAGAGCAAATAAAGACTGAACTTAAGGAGATGCTTTTACACGCTAAAAATGAACAATGGATCTCACAAAAAGAACATGACTTTCTACTGAATGAGCACCCAAGAATTCCTTCCTTCTACATGCTCCCTAAAATCCATAAGAACTTGGAGAATCCACCAGGCGGCATTGATGTTTTTAACAATTTAAGCCATGTACTAATAAAGGCTTTTATTTTTGTACCTCCTGAGTGCCTCAGATCTCCTTTTGCCAACATCTGCCTGTACTTATTTGATTAATGGCAGTTTAAACGTTTTATTAGACTCCAAATGTAATCATTTGGCACGTTCCTAATTCGTAATTTGTAAGAATGTAATTGGCGATATTAGCATTAGCGTCCCTATGGGTTTTTCCATGTATATTAGCATTGTGCTAACCACTTGCTGCCAGTCAAATCTCAGCCTTTGCGTTTAGAAAATCTCATTTTGTCACATTGCATTTAATTGTATATGCAAATTATCGTTGAGCCCTAATTGAAGCCCAGTGGGTGGTTCCCATCACCACAATCTTGGCCATGTCACGTCTCCTCACTCTGGAAAAATACAAAAATGTAGCTAAGAGCGGGGCTGTGAGGATGTGGGCAGATGTTTAGCACACAAGAAGCTCGAGACAATGCAGCTATAAGCTAACCGAAGCTAACTGATGCTTTTAGCCCGAAAACAGCAGTTGAGTGACTGCTACCCTCTGCCTTTGAGGCTGTAACTCTTTTAACGTGAGGCCTTTCCTGGAGCAAGCGGGAGAGGAATGCTGCTAGCACTGGCGGAGCATCTGACACCTGGCTCGAAGGATTCATAATTTTTAAAACTTGAATTACATCTAAACAAATGGCTTATGTGGAAATTCACCTCCCTCAGAGTTGTCATGATGGCATGTTTTTTTCTGCTGTGAAGTTGGCATTTTTAACATGGGAGTCAATGGGAATCAGCCCCTAGTGGACGAGGGGGGAACTGCAGGGTTCTTCACTTCCACGTTGGCTTCACTTTGATAGGGGGAGTTTGTGCCTTGGTCTCATGTGATCTGGCCACATTTAAAATATCTGATGAATGTGTTTTACCCTTTCAGCACGTTTCCTATCGACACATTAGACATTTATTTCTTCTCCAGATAGTCACTAACAGCCCCGCTCCAATGAGCTGTAGGAAACTGGGCTTTACCTGCTGGTATGTAAAAAGCTAAACTTATCTAAGCTGAAATATCCATCCATCCATCCTTTTATTCTGCTTATCCAGAGCCGAGCTTCAAATAAATAAATAAAAATAATCAAAGCTTTAGTAAAAGCCTGAAACTTGTCTTTATTTGTAGGCTTTGTCAGTGAAGTTAATGGATTAACAGCAGATTGCTTTATTTTCACAACACAACATTAAAAGTATTTTGCGTGTGAGAACAGTCTACTGAATATTTCTTACTGCTGGCCTTTCTGTGCAGGATTCATTACAACATTTAATAGCTTTACAACATTTCCCGTCTGCTCTGTCAACATGCCGTTGCTGATTTACCTCCTGTGTAAACTCCCGTTTCCGCCGACAGCTGCAGGGGCCGCGTTTAAGCGTCTGAAGACACCTCCTTCTGGCCAAAAGTAACACGGAGGTGTCTGGGTAAGCAGCATAATGTGTGATAGGCTGTAATTGCCCAGTGGCCAGTTAGTCATGGCGCTGACTCTTATTTGACACTCAATTGGTTCAATTGACACCATTACCATGTCTGCATGGCTAATGGCCTCCCCAGGGGCCCCAGGCAGAGGGGGAACATGCGTTAGGCGTGTCAGCTTGAGGTGAGAACACACATGAGCCAGGCTCGGCCTCGTCCACACCCAAGTCAATCCTGACACCTCTTAAGAGGCTCTCAGCATCAGTGGCACTCCAGTGCAATTACCCCCTTGGTAATGACATAAGCACCCAGTTCCTTCCTGCCCGCCTCTGTCTGCTGGAGCAGAGCCGCTCCTGCAGGCCGGTAGGTGGGGATGTTGTCGGCCACGCTGTGCTCGGACTCAGAGCCGTTGTTACTTGATCCCTCCAGGCTCCGGAGGACAGCCTTCAGGAGATGTGGATCCCTGGGCCGCTCCGGGGAGAAAGCAGCTGTTATCTGATCACAGATGCTGTGCTGAATCTGCCCTTCAGTCCGATTGGATGTGATGTAGCTCAGCAAGCTGTCAAGATAAGCAGCTTCTCAGCGGCGACCAAGCAGGATTTCCTGTGAAAGCTTCAGGTTTTAGTGATTAGTTATGATAACCTTGAAGACTGCAGCGGGGGAACACATGATCAGCAGTCAGATCTGAGGTGATAACCCACAGATCCCAGGGGTCTGAGGGGAGGAGCTTCAACAGGAGAAATCTGTACTTTAGACCCTTCGTTCAGGCACAACACAGCGCTGAACTGTTTTTAATATGTCATCACAGCCAATGAGACGGTTTGAGATGAAGCCCGGCAGCTTCATAAGCATGGACACCTCCCATCTGGGCGACATCATCACACCTTAAGTGGCCCTCCTGTCTTGGTGCAGGTTGGCTGTTGTCTGATTCTGACACTGTGGCATCCATCATCCCTACAAACACATTAAAAATCAGAACTCATCCTATATCGGGATGTCTCCTCTTTTTTCCCAGACTCCTCCTGGAAGTGGTCGCGTGTTCTCAGGTATCCAGCCCACTGGAGTACCGCATCTAGGGAACTACTTGGGCGCCCTGGAGAACTGGGTGTCCCTGCAGAACCAGTACTCGTCGGTGCTGTACAGCATAGTGGACCTGCACTCCATCACGCAGCCCAAGGACCCGGCTCTGCTCAGGAACAACATCCTGGACATGGCAGCCAGCCTGCTGGCCTGTGGCGTCGACCCAGAAAGGGCGATCCTCTTCCAGCAGTCTCAGGTGGGTCAGAGGTGGACCAACATGGCCGACATGAGTTCATCCTTACCCCCTGCTGCTAATAAGTAAAGACCGTAATCCTATTGTTTTGTTTTCAGCCTTATTTCCACGCTACTGGTATCAGAAGTGAGCAACATGCTATGTTTGCACATGACCTCTAACCCCATGGATGTCATTTATGAAATTATGCAGGGATTTGTGGATTCAAATTTTATTAACGTGAAAAAAAGGAAAGATCGATAGTTTTATAATTTTCAGGTTGAAATATTTTAGCCAATGTTAATAAAACACTAAAGTGGCTACATAAAATACCAGAAAAAAGGTACTTATGCTGCTTTTCAGCTGTTTCATTTACAATGAAATTACATTTAAAGGGACTTTACTGAGTTTTGAATTTTTATGCTCGTGATTGCCCCCTCAGGCCAAAAGCGTAACGGCAGCTTCAATAGTAGGCTCGTGCACGAGGCGCGCATGCTGTACGTGCACACGAAAATAACAGCTGAGACAGTCCTGTGTGTGTGTGTGTGTGTGTGTGTGTT